CAGAAAGTCAAGCAAAGTGAGCAGACAGAGGCAAATGCTCCAAACAAAGGAACAAGACAAACCCCAGAAAAAAAAGAAAACGGATAAGCAATATGCCCGATAGAGTTTAATGGTCACGCAGATGCTCACTGGCTTGGAGAGGAGAGTGGAGGAACTCAGAACTTCAATAATGAGATAGAAAATGTATTGTTAAAACATCAGAATTGAAGAATACAATAACTGAAATGAAAAATACACTCGAGGGAATCAATAGTAAATAAATGTGCGCAGAAATGCAAAATAACGAGAAGGAAGACAGGGTTGATGGAAAACACACAAGCTGAATGTTAAAAAAAAATTGTTTTTAAATGAGGATAAATTAAAGGATCTCTTGGATAACCTCAAACAAACATCTGCACTACAGGGCACCAGAAAGAGAACAGAGAGAGACAGAAAAGTTAGTCGAAGAAGTACCAGCTGAAAAGTTCCTCCACATAAGGAAAAAAACAGACGTTTAGGTGCAGAAAGCACAGACAGTCCCAAACAGGATGAGGCCCACAGACACAACAGGTAAAGAGAATTTTAAAAGCAGTAAGGGAGAAACAAAAAGTCATGGAATAGGTAACCCCTTAAGTCTCTCAGCTGACTTCTCTAGCAGAAATACGGCAGGTCAGAAGAAAGGGGGATGCCAGCTCCACGGTGCTAAAAGGCGAAAAAAAAAAAAACAACCTGCCACCAACAAGACTACTTGGTGAGGTTATCCTTCAGAATTGAAGGAGGGATATTGGGTTTCCCAGATAAAGGAATTCTTACAAGAAACGTTAGAGTGACTTCTTGAAGTGGAAAAGGCTATAGTTGGAAGATAATTAGGAATAAAAAGATGTAAAATGAGAACAATACGTAAGTGGGAGAAAAAAGTTCTAGAACATATTCAAACATCAGCAACCGTCAGTTTGACAGACTGCTATATACTCAGGATGTTATATATGAACCTCATAGTAACTGCAAGCATAAAACCTTTCATATGGATACACAAAAAAGAAGAAAGCCAAGCACAACATTACAGAAAGTCATGAATCACAGAGCAAAAGCAGAAGAAAGGAACAGAGAATGATGAAATTTAACAAAATGGCCGTAACTGCAGAGCTATCAACAATTATTTTAAATGTAAATGACCTAAATGATCCACCAAAAGACATAGGGAGACAGAACAGATTAAAAAAAACCCAGGGCCCTCTAAATGCTGCCTACAAGAGACTCCCTTCAGACTAAAGACACATGCAGACTGCATGTGAAAGGACAGATAAAAATATTCCTTACAAATGAAAGTGAAAAAAATGCTGGGCTACCAATACTTATATCAGACAAGACAGACTTTAAAACAGACTGTAACAAGAGACGAGAGCATTACATAATGATGAAGGGGTTAATCCATCAAGATGGTAAAACAATTGTAAATATTTATACCTAATACTGGAGCAGCTAAATACAGAAAGTAAATATTAATGATACAAGGAGAGAAACTGACAGTAATACAATAATACTAAGGGACTTTGAAACCTACTTACATTAATGGATACATGATCCAGGCAGAAAACCAAGAAGGATTTGTTTTTGAATATACGTTAGACCAGACGTATACAGAAATATATGTATGTATAGATACATTCAGAAATTCTATCCAAAACCAAGAAAATACATATTGTTTTCAAATGCACATGAGACATTCTCCAGGAGAGATCACAAAACAAGTCACAATAAATTTAAGAAGACTGGAATCATATCCTGCATCTGACCATGATGATATAAAACTAGAAATCAGTAACAAGAAAAAAAAAAAGGAAAAAACAAACATGTAGAAGCCAAACAACATGGTACTAAACAATCAATGGGTCAATATAAAAATCCGAGAAGAAATGAAAAAATACATGAAGACAAATGAAAACACAAAGGGCCAGAATCGTTCATATGCAGCAGCAAAAGCCGTTTCCCAGCAAAAGCAGGGAAATTAACAATGATACAGACCTACTGCAAGAACTGAAAATCTCAAACAATCTAACATTACAACTATAGGAACTAGAAAAAGAACAAAGCCCAAATTTAGTAGAAGGAAGGACATAATAAAAATCAGATCAGAAGTAAATAAAACAGAGACTAAAAAATAGAAAAGATCAATGAAACCAAGAGCAGGTATTTTGAAAAGATAAAATTATAAACCTTCAGTCAAACTCCTCAAGAAAGAAAGAGAAGTAACAACCAACTACAGAAATACAAGGGATTATAAGAGACTACTACAAAAAATTATATGCTGACAAACTGGGTAGCCTATAAGAAATGGATATATCTTCTAAAACTGAATCAGGAAGAAACAGAAAATCTGAACAGATCAATTACTAGTAACAGAATAGAATTGGTAATCAACTCCCAACAAACCAAAAGTCTAGTACCAAATGGCCACACAGGTGAATTCTACCAAACATTAAAAAAATATCTATTCCAAATCGTCTGTATTAATCTATTATAAAAGCAGAAGAGGGGCACCTGGATGGCTCAGTTGGTTGGGCGACTGCCTTCAGCTCAGGTCATGATCCTGCAGTCCTGGGATCGAGTCCCACATCGGGCTTCCTGCTCAGTAGGGAGTCTGCTTCTCCCTCTGACCCTGTCCCCTCTCATGCTCTCTCTGTCACTCTCTCTCTCAAGTAAACAAATAAAACCTTAAAAAAAAAAAATAGGAGAAGGAAAGCTTACAATGCCAGCATTACCTTCCTACCCAAACCAAAGTCACTACAACAAACCCCCTACAGGCCAACATCTCTGATGAACTTAGATGCAAAAACCAACAAAATATTAGCAAATCACATTCAACAATACAGTACGAGGATCATTCACCATGGTCACATGAGATCCATTCAGATCCATTCCAGGGATCCAAAGTGGTTCAATATTCACAAATCAATCAATGTGATACATCCCATTGATAAAACGAAAGATAAGAACCATATGACCATCTCAAAAGATGCAGCAAAACCATTTGACAAAATTCAACATCTGTTCACGATGAAAACCCTCAACAAAGTAGGCTTAGAGGGTACGTATCTCAACATAATAAAGGCCACACAAGAAAAACCCACAGCTAACCTCATACTCAATGGGAAAAAACTCTTTCACCAAGATAAGGATGTCCACTCTCACTAACTTTTATTCGATATAGTACTGCAAGTGCAAGTAACAGCACTCAGACAAGAAAAGGGAATAAAAGACATGTAAATTAGTAAGGAAGAGGTTAAACTATTATTATTTGTCCAGTGCATTTCTTTCTTTCCTTTTTTTTTTTTTAATATTTTATTTATTTATTTGACAGAGACACAACGAGAGAGGAACAGAAGCCGAGAGAATGGGAGAGGCAGAAGCAGGCTTCCTGCTGAGCAGGGAGCCAGATGCGGGGCTCGATCCCAGGACCCTGGGATCATGACCTGAGCTGAAGGCAGATGCTTAACGACCGAGCCACCCAGGTGCCCTGTCCAGTGCATTTCTATACACAGAAAAACTCTACAGACTCCACCAAAACATTATTAGAAGTAATAAGTAAAGCTGCAGGATACAAAAGTAGTACACACACATTGGTTGCATTTCTATACAGTAATAAAGAAGTAGCAGAATGAGAAATGAGGAAAACAATCCCATTGCAATTGCACCAAAAATAATAAAATACCTAGGAATACACTTAATGAAGAAGGTGAAAGATCTGTACTCTGAAAACTACAAAACACTGATGAGACAAACTGAAGATGACACAAATATTTTCCATGCTCCTGGACTGGAAGAATCCGTATCCCTAAAATGTCCGTACTACCCAAAGCAATGGACAGATTCCATAAAATCCCTATCAAAGTACCAAGAGCATTTTTCACAGAGTACAACCAATCCTACAGTTTGTATGGAACCACAAAAGACCCCGAAGAGCCAAAAGAATTGTGAGAAAGAACAAAGAAGCTGGAGGTAGCACAATGCCAGATCTACAGCAAAACTGTATAATCACAACACTAAGGTAGTACCAGTATAAAAACAAACAGATCAATGGAACAGAACTGAGAAATAAACTCACACTCACATCGTCAATTAATCTGTGACAAAGGAGGCGAGAATACACAATGGGGAGAAGACAGTCTCTTCACGGCGCTGGGAAAACTGGACGGCTACATGAAAAAGACTGAAATGGACCGCTTTCTTGTACCATATGCAAAATAAACTCAAATACAAAAATAAACTCCGAGTGGATTAAAGACCTAAAGTTGAGACCTGAAACCATAAAATCCTAGAAAAAAACAGAGACCGTGATCTCTTTGCTACTGGCTTTACCAACATATTTCTAGCTATGTTTCCTGTGGCAATGGAAACCAAAAATAACCCTATTAAAACTACAGTAACATAAAAAGCTTCTGCACAGTGAAGGAAACCTTCAACAAAACAAACCTACCACTCACCATGTGTCCCCCATCATACTAAAATGTCCTACATTGGTCTAGTATAGCCTATAATTGCATGAGTTTGAGCCAAAAATCCTGAGAAATGAAGTGACTTGATAATGGTTCTATAGATGGGAAGTACTGAAACTGGGGTATGAACCTGCATAGAGTGATTTCAGAGCACGGGCTCTTGACACAAAACTGTTCTCTTTCCAGAAAGAGGCAAGAGTAGCCCGTGAACAAAACGGGACCATAATGTTAGAAACACCGTTGTTCAAAGCTGTGGGACTGTTCCCTCCCATGATTATTTCCAAACATGTAGGTTTTTGTTTGTTTGTTTGTTTGCTTTTGCTATCACTTTCAGCATTGTCAGGGGACTGAAACATTTGAGGTCCTCAAAGAGCGGGGTGAACAGTCATTTCTACTTCATCAATCACACAGGCAGGCTTTGCAGACAAAGGCAGCAACGATGGGCTGCATGGTGTCAGCTCTTGGACTGGCTGGGCAGCCAAACGTACCCCCAGCTCCTGGGCCGGCTGAAGAGTGCCCACTTACCATCATACTCCGGGAAGTAGTCAACTAGGTGGGAATACATAATTTTCTCCTCTAGAAGATCTTTCTTGTTTAAGAATAGGATAACCGAGGAGTTCTGGAACCAGGGATAGGTGATAATTGTTCTAAAGAGTGCTTTGCTTTCCTCCATTCGGTTCTGGAAAAGAAATCAGAAAAACAAGGCATGAATTACATGATTACTCCATCCGTGTATTGTTTTGGAAGTACAACCCATCTTCTGCAGGCTTTCAAATTATAGTTGTTTTTAGGATTTGCTTGCAAAGGGTTCATGACACCCATTGGCTCTTTCATTAAGAAAGCTCTCAGACTGACATGGGTGACCAGCTCTTCGTCCTACAGACACACTCACCGCTAGATCATTCTCACCCGAAGGTCAAGAAAAGGCAGTAAATTGGGGGGAGTCCTCCTTTGCCTGGGGATACAAAAGCCTTGGTTCACGGGGACATTTCTTCCTGGCCACACGGATGATACTTTCCAGCCGCCTGATTTAGGGTTGTGCATGATGAACAGGATTCCAGCAGCAAAAACGCCTGCCTGGGATTCAGTCCACTTCCACTGCTCCCCAAGGCTGGTAGAAGCCATAGCCTCCTATTCCCATGGCGCCCAGTGTGATGCGCGCCCCCGGGTCCAAATCTAGGCCCCACATCCCATGGAACAACTCGTCTCTGGTTTATGGTCATGAGCTTAGCCAGCCAGCTCATCTGGTCCCATCCACCCCAGGACTGGGGCTGGGGACTCTGGAAGGAGAACCTTGATTTCACGCAGAATGTGGACAAGGACTCATATAGCTTTAGGACTTCCTGCAACAGTCTTGAAACAGAAAAAGAAACCAGGTCCTGCTCACCTGCTTTTAACTACTTGGTCAAACTATGCCTGACCTTCCTTCTGCCTCTGGATTTTCAGCCACATCAGCCTTTAAGAATCCTTTAGCTTCGACGCTAGTTTGCACTGTGTTTTTCTGTTTGTTATACAACATCCTTGCGATGGGGGATATATAGCTGGATACCTCCCCCCCTCCCAAGTTTCCAAAAGGAGATGAATGAATAAATGATTTTCAGGGATGACCACAAAGACCGGGGACTGACGCTATTAATGTTTTCTGCTCAGAGTTTGCCTTCCTGATGTAGAAGGTTCCCTAAGCTTCACAGCACAGGATTACAAAGGCCAAATTAACTCTCCTGCATAACCCTTTAACAACAGTTCCAGGAAGTCTCCAGGAAACTCTGTTCACCAGGGAGAATTTTCTAGATCCTAAATGTGTCTTGTTCTTTCCTTCTGTAAAGTGTGCCAAAGCAAATCAGGTTGAAAAGACCCACTTGGCAAAAAGAGATTTTCCCAAGTTTTATAAAGCGGATGATCACCAATCTCTTCAACTTTTAAACCTCCTGTCTATAATTGCTTATTTAAATACTAAGCACGGTGGGAGTAAATCCGGGAAAGGGACTTCATGGCTCAAGGGACAATGTTTATTTCACTGCATACATTTCTCTTTTGTATAAGTGACACGCACGGCTTTTTAAAAAGATCTAGCTGTATGCCTTTTACTCCTCATCAGTGGCAAAATTTTAACCTCCAGAAACAATATTCATTAAGAAATCATGTCTCGGAATCTATGGTTTTATAGGTTGGAAATTTCAGGACCGAAGAACAGCAAAGGCCCTAATAAGAACTAAAAGAACTTTAAAAGACTCTAAAGAAGGTTAAATTAAATAGTGACATCCTGGTGGGATAGTTAACATTTTTTTTTCTTATGGCTAAAGAAATTCTAGAAAGGCAAACTGTGGTCTTCAAGGAAGACCTCTTTAGAAGGTGGGTATAGACAAAGGGGTATCAACCAGTGAGTTTCCATTAGAAACAGTTACTATAGTTAGCGTTCTCCAGAAGGGATGTGACATGACCCCCAGGGACAGGGCTCTCTTTCGGCCTTTTCTGGGTGGAGTCCTTCAAAGGTAAGGGACTAGACGCTGACAGGAGACTGGAAAAGGGAGACAGGTGCTGAGCTCACAGAAAAGGAGGCTCCTGAGGTCTAAGAGTTTCAAGACTGGACTGGAGGGAACCCCCAAGCTCCAGGGGGAGTCTGCTGCGAGAGGACCTCGTACCAGCCTGCAGGACTGTGGCCAGGAGAGTGGACTGAGCCCAGCACCATGTTCCAGGGATGACCTGCCCAGCCGGCTGTCCCTCTGTGCCCAGTGTGGCTGCACTGAGGGCCACTCTGGAAGCAGGACCGCTGACTGGACTGGTCCCACTGAAGCTTTGCCCATGCATGCAGCATCTTCTATTGACCAGTGACCATAATGTGTGTGTGGACTGGGACTAAAGCTTCTGATTCAGGGACAAGCTAGAGAGCAGCCAAGTGGGCAGCTGACCAGTAGGATCCATATCACTGTCCCTTTGACTAGGTCTACGAGCTCCATCTGGGAACCCGGGAACCTGTGTTTTCACTCGACCCTCTAGGACAGTCTTGTGCGGGTTCAACTTTGTGAAGCACGAGGCTCCAGAAGGCCAACTCCAACTTGGTCATAACACCAACCGGGGGACCTTGTTAAGAGCTGGATTCAGATTCAGTGGGGGGCGGGGCCCGGGACTCTACATTTTTAGCAAGCTCCCAGGTGGGGCTGCTGCTGCCGCACAGGGCACACTGGGAGTCGGAAGGCGCGGAAAGCTCGCAGAGGCAGGACAAGGACAGACTCCATTTTTGCAATAATCAGTGCAGGTCCCCGGATGAAAGCCTAACCGTGCCTCCCTCTTTATTTTGCCCAATTAGGATCCTGACTTGGCGCTTTGAGTATTTACTCCACAGTGAAGTCCTGATGGGCCACCACCCCCCCACCATCCACCGCGTGCCATGGGTGAATTTTATAAACCTGTATGTTACGCAAAGCCCCTGGACTCAACCCTAAATAAACGAATGAGGTTTTCATTTCACAAGGTGGTGGGGAGTGTAGAGCCTGAGGCATAATCCCCTTTGCTCAGGAAAACCGCAATCTGCGAGGGAACAAACAGCGTGTCCCGGGAGGCTGGGTGGCACTGCCAGGGCATGGGACGTCACGGAGGAAAACGACACAGCGGGGCCGGGGACACGCAGAAGACTGATGAGAAGCAATGAGGTTCTGTTCGTCTCTCACGATACACTTAAAGGCAGTCACGGGGGTGGTGCTCATCACACCCACCTTCTGCGGGGCTTTGAAGCAGCTGAGTTGAAAAGGAAACTGGTAACGGTTTCCCTCTCCCAGACACAGCTCCTCGTGAATGGAGTGGGCCCGGCCTCTGCTGAAGACCCGGTAAGACTCGACAAGTTGTCACCACCCCGCCCCCAACACACACACACACACACACACACACACACAACTGCTCCCCAGCTGAAAGCCAGTGTCTTTCCCAGTGAAAGGGGCCCGGACAGAGGTGACACAGCTGGAACAGAGGAGGCAAAGAGAGATGAAGCTGCCAGGTCCTGCCTGGTCTCCGCAGCCTCACAGGGATGGGAAGAGGACTGAGGATAGGGACCACAGTGGTCAGTGGGTCTCTGTGAGGTCGTCCTGCCCGAAGTAAATGTGGCCACAGAAAGGTCAGTCTTGCCCAGACCACACCTGATACAGACTGAATGTGTTTCTCCAAAATTCCTCTGTTGAAACCCTACCCCCTGATGTGACGGGTTTAGGAGGTGGGGCCTTCGGGAGTTGATTAGGTCGTGAGAATAGAACCCTCGAGAATGGGATTAAGCGCCCTTAGAGAAGTGAAATCCTAACCCCAATGTGATGATGTTAGGAGGCGGGGCCCACAGGAGGCGACTAGGACCAGCGGCCCTATAAGATGCCTGAGAGCTCCCTCACCCGCTCCTGCCATGTGAGGACACAGAGAGAAGCCAGTGCTCTATTATCCAGGAAGGAGGTCCTCACCAGACATCGAAACTGCTCACACCTTAGTCTTGGACTTCCCAGCCTCCAGAACTGTTAAGAAATGTTTCAGGTTTATAAGCCATCCACCTGTGGTGTTTTGTTACAGGAACCTGAAAGGACTGTGACAATGCTAATCAGGTAAGTTACTCCTCCCCAGGGCTGGCACTGATCAGGGGGTAAAGCCCTAAGTGGAAAAGCATCACTCTTCCCCAGGGCCCTGGGGGAAGGACCTGCTCCCTGCTCCCCACTCCATAATCACAGGCAGAACGCGGTGACCATGGAGTGTCCTCCCCTGTTCAAACCCCCACTAAGGGGGTCTCACACACCTCACCTTCAAATATTTCATACGGATTCTCAAGATCCCCCATCTCCAGCAAACACAGCTGTTCTGTGCAACTCCCCCCACCCCTCAACCCCCGACCCATGACTCACATGGCCTCCGGGAAAAGGCCCTGAGCTTCTCATTCTGCCATTCACCACTCAGCATGGCCTGACCCCCCACGCACGTCCTCAGCCTGAACTCTGACACAAATGTCCTCTTCTCCACAAAAACAGACTCTGTGTCCCTGTGTCACAGACCCTGATCAACAGGACTTTCCCGAGAAACCCTTCTCTGGGCCTCACTTGGATTGGCCCCCATCTGCCTCCTGCCCCTTCCCCCACCCCCGCCCTGCACACACTGGCCTACTGTTCCTTGTCTGCCCATCATTCCTGGACACACACAGGGTTTTCTAGAAGCTGGGAATAAAGGTTTTTTGGACAGTGTCCGGGAGGATGGACTAAGACAGGAGCCTTACCGTGAGTTTATAACTCCATGTGTTGGGCAGAAAGAATGGGAAACAGAAGAGGTTGGTGTTACATGAGAAGGAAAGGTGTGACAGGGGAAGACTTAAAAACAAAGGTAGTTTTGACATGACTCTCGATGAAGGAGAGATTGCAAGGAAGAAAGAACAAAAGCAAAGCCAAGGAGAATCTGAATCCACAACTGTGTAAGAAGAGATCTGTAGGAATTCTGCAGAGAATAGTTCACGAGGGCTTCTGAGGGCTATGATTTGGGCATTAAGAAAATTCTCCGCATTGAGAACAGGAAGCATTTCCTCCTTGTTTGCATCTTAGGGTAGGGGCTGGATTGGCCCCAACATGCCAAGGTCTCTGAGCCTCCTCCATCACTCCCCTCACATAAGCTGCCATGTCTGCACTCCTGCTTGTTTCCTGTGCTGGCAGGTAGTAAGCTCCCACA